CCTCAGCTAGTCATCTAAAAATGAATGAACACTCCGATCGAGGGTGCCGGAATTAGCAATCCGACGGATAAGTCAGTGTATACTCTCTTGATTGCTTGTATCTTAAGTTAATCTTACTTGTTCTCACATACCTTTCTTTAGCTGATGCTCCTCTATTTATATTTTTCTTTTGGGCCTCAGGGTCAGGCCCACCCTCAATCCATTGCACGTTTATTTATTCGGCTTTTGTTCAACTGGTTCTACGGCCAATTAGTCTATTCGGCCTTGCGATCTTCCAGGATGGAGCCGAATACAAATTTCATCATTGACTGTCCTCATACCGTCATTCGACTTTATTACACGTATACCAACAATATTCGGCTCCCACAATAAATTATCCAAATTTCCATAGGTGAAAGATAATGCACATCCAACTCCACCATTTATTTAAACATTCATCTAATTTCATGTTTCCAATACCAATTTCATTATTTAAACAAAATAATTCTTTGAAACATTTTAGAGCAAAACCCCATTCTCTCCCAAATCCAACCCATGTGTCAAAATCAACAAATTCAACACCACACATCCTCATATCTATACTCATAACCATTTTCAATACCTTCATTTGAAAACCCCTCTTTTGATTTTAAACCAAAACCCTAGGTTTGTCTAAAATCTCTCAAATCCCAACATTTCTTACACAATCAACCAATAACTAAGTTAATAATCATAGGAGAATGTAGAAAGTCCCTACCTCAAATTTAGAAGACGAGCAAGCAAGGAGAAAACCTAAAAGACGCCGAAATCAACTTTTGTCCGAATCAAAATGGAGCTCTTGAGATGATCTACATTTTTCCCAAAGACATTAGGGTTGAGAAACCAACGAACCTAGGTGAAAATGTAGAGAGAATGTGAGTTCTAGAGAGAGAAGCTCAAGATCCAGGGTTTTGAAATGTTTTAGAGAGAGAAAGAGATGAAAAAGTGATAAAAAAAAATATGGATGTTACGAACTGATATACGCACAGTCCGCTTGAGCGCAAGAATTGACGCTAGAGTATCAGACACAATAAGTTGTTCCGCTCGATCGCAAGAAGTGACGCTCAAGCGCAGAATGCACACTCTCAGTAGTTTTGCAGACAACAGATGAACGCTCGAGCTGAGCCCACTCGAGGTTAGGAAGATCCGCTCGAGCGTAGAATACACTCTCCCAGTAGTTTTGTAGACCTGTAAAATACTGAGAGTTCACAAAACCCACTCGAACGCAAGAAGTATCGCTCAAGCGGAGGAGCAGAATTCTAGGCAACAAGTTTGGAAACCAAGCAACCAACCTGTCCCAAACGCAACCACAACAATCCTAAAGCCAAATTTAAGGAGATACAAGGGAAGTAAGATATAAACAATAACATGAGACCAAGATACCCAGGTTCAAGATGCAAAAAGGTCGAATTAAAACCAGAATCGCTATAGATATGATAAAAGTTGAGAATGGAAGTTAGTATGCAGGTTGTTTGGTGTATGGATATTAGATTTTTTTGCTTACTTCATAGTTGCTACTTCCAATTGGTTTATTCACAGGTTGCATTTTATAAGCTACTGTTTGCATACTATTAGGCAGGGTTATATTCATGTGTATATGTATATATATATATATATTATATTTTTAAAATAACCTTCTACGGCATTAAAATTATGTCATAAAAAGTGTAATAATTTATAGCATGTAAGAAAATGTCGTAAAAGATTATATACGACGTACAAAGTATGTCATAAATATATTAAAAATGACCTTCTACGACATACAAAATTATGTGGTAAAAAGTGTGATGATTTATGAAATGCAAGAAAATGCCGTAAAATATTACATACGGTATACAAAGTATGTCATAAATATATTCAAAATAACCTTCTACGATATGCAAAATTATGCTACAGAAAATATGATGATTTATGGCATAACAAAAATGTCATAAAAAATTATATATGACATACAAAGTATGTCATTAATGTTTAATTTATTACTTTTTACAACTTTACCTGCATGTAGTAAATAATACTCAACTTTCCATAGCATGTCATATAACGGCATTCGTGTGCATGCCGTGAAAGAGTTTTTACGGCATACATTGCAAGTCATAAAAATTTAATTTTGTTATAGTGCCCACTCCGTTAATTTAGCATAAATAGCATTAATTGACTATCCAAAATGATCCTATTATCCCCTTTGAATTGAGCAAGTAGATGAAAATTATCAAAATAACCAATAAGCTATTTAAATAAAAAATTTCGCGCACCTCTCCTGAGCTTTTGCATATATATTATTAAAGACACATACATATTTTAACATAATATGTTAATAATTTAATATAAGACCCTGATAATATAATACATATAACACTTATTTCACACTATATAAACAACAAAAAATTTATCAATTTTAATTAATGCATTTATTATTTAAATTTCTTTTTTCTTTTCTCTTTTTAAATTGAAACAAATGGATTTTTTTTTTCCAGTAATTTGTCCTACTTATTTATTCATATTTAAAAAAAACTTATTTATTTCCAAATTGCTAAGACATTATTAAAAAATTTAATAAAAAAACTTAATTTTTATTGATAAAATATTTTAAAATAAATTTTAGCACTGATTCATTTTATTTTATTTTTAAATTCACACTAAATTTTATTTTCCCTTAATAGTTGTTTATGGGATATATTGTTGCACCTTTACATTAAATACCATATTACTATTTCTATCCAAATTTTCACTATTTTTGCAGGGTAATTTATTTCTTGTTTACACCAAAATGGCAGTGTATTAACAGAGGCATCTGGGAGAAAAGTTTTAAAACTGATCAATTCCAATTTTTTTTCTCTAATAATTTATTATAAGACTTATTTCATACTACATAAATAACGTAAACTTTATTATTTCAAGTAATGCATTTATTATTTAATTTTTCTTAAATTTGAAATAAATGCATTTATTTTTTTCTCAACAATTTGCATTATATGTAAAAAAAAAATTATTATTTTATCTTTTCTCGATGTTATTCTCAAATTTTAAATTTTATCTTCGCTCTACTAAACTTCTAATGGATGCATATTTAAAAATAAATAATAAATAAATAAAAACATAAATTAATATTTCTTACTTGATTAAAAAAAATTAAAAATATATATATATAGAAGTAAAAAAAAAAAATTCTTACCTCCTCTAAGAATATCAACACAACACTATTCTTAACCTTAAATGCACTAATTTAATTTACACTATTAAATATATATGAAATTATTATTTATTTTTCATAAGTTTTTTTAAAAGATAAATGTAATTTCTTGACTCTATTTTTTTCCACAAGTTTTTGAACTTTTATAGAAAAAATAAAATAAAATTTAACCATTAATGAAGGTAAGAAATTAATTCTAAGATTTCGTGATCCTTTATTAACTAATTTTAATTTATTGTGAGGTGATTATATTTTTTTACTTCTATATTTATATTTTAATTTTTTTGATCATGTAAAAATATTAGCCTACGTTTTTTTTAAATATGCATCGACTAGAAGTTTAATTACCCAAAGATAACAATTAAAATTTGAGAATAATATATGATTGAGAAAAGATAACATATGAATAAATAAGTAATGCAAATTGTCCGAAAAAAATAAATCCATTTATTTCAACTTTTTTTAAAAATTCAAATAATAAATGTATCACTTGAAATGATAAATTTTACGTTGTTTATGTAATGTGGAATAAGTCTTATATCAAATTATTATTATTATGTTATCTAATATTAATTTTAGAGAGATTATTTATTTTTAAATATTTTATCAATAAAAACTAATTTTTTTTATGAAATGATTTGATAATATTTAACAATTTAAGAGTTTTATTTAGTATTGCATGAATTTTAAGAATTTTATTAAACAAAGTTAAAATATATATGGGTCTTTGATAATATTTATGTAAACCTTAGGGGAGGTGAGTGAAATTACTCATTTGAATAGAAAGATTATGTCATTAGTGATATGACATCAGCGTGATGTCAGCGTGACGTCAGCAAATTATGTTAAAGTGGAGAAATTTTGATAATAGTTTCAAAAGTAAGAGAGATTAGTGTAATTATTAAAATTACAGGAGAGGTCCTTGTAATTGTCAAAAATCTCAGAGGAGGTAAATGTAATTTATTTTAATAAGTATAATAAATTATTAATCTCAATTAATTAATCATATTATCGCTATAACCTAAGTTAGTATACTCTTATTATATATAAAAATGATTTAAATTTGAAAGATACTAAACCGATTAAATCGTACCCAACCGAACCATTTCAATTGATGTAGTTTAGTGCGGTTTCATGGGTGAAGTGGTCTTTATCGGTACTCAAAATAATAAAACCGACATTATTAGTTCAATGGAAAATTTTACCTAAATACCGACCATACTGAACCGGATACATCCCTAGTAAAAGGAAGGCACACATATTGTATGTTTAATTAAATATATATATATATATATATTTAAAAATAAGCAATTTTAATTAGGGGTGTTCATGACCTAATTAATTCGTCAAAACCAACCGACCCAACTCGATCTATTCGTTTTTAAGTAGTTTTAATAGTATGAGTGGATAGATATGGAAGGAGATTTTTCAAATCCGTCTATGTTCAGACGGATGACGAATGAGAGGTTACCTAACCCAAATTGATCTGCCAACTCCCCTTAAAAAATGATTGCCAACTCCCCTTAAAAAATGATGTTATATTTTTATAATTTGTATGTTTAAAAAATGATTAGCTACTTAAAGATAAATATGCAACGACAAAAGTAAAATATGGATATACCAATCTCCTAGCTACCAAGCAACCTCGCTTTCAAGCATATGCTTATGAAAACAATAAGACTACCAACTCAGAAAAAAAAAATTTCAAAATTATCAATGTAAGGTCAAAATTTATTTTATATATAAACCTCACAATATAACAATTTTCTGGGACAGTAGAGTTACTTGGTTATGGGAGTTCAATATCAAAACATGTCTTGTAATTGTTTTCCAAGTCTGAGTCAAACATGTCATCATTTATGTTGGTCATGTGGCCTAACAAGCTCTCAGTCTCTTCAGGCTGTTCTTGAGCGTGGAAGGTCTCTTGCAATCTCATATGACCAAGGAGTTGTTCAGCAACCTCCTTCATTGTAGGTCGTTCAATGCCACTCCTATTGAGACATCTCACAGCAAGCTCAGCCACCGCTTCAATTTGCTCACTTTCCCGTACGTCGCTAACCTCATAGTTATTCAAAACCTGTGAGAATTTTTTCTGTTCCACCGAGGTAATGAAATACTGAATGATGTTAGTGTTCCTATTTTCATCAGAATTTGGGTTTGGCTTTGGAAACCATCCGGTTAAGAGTTCCATAAGTACAACCCCGAAACTATAAACATCGCTCTTTACAGTAAGAACACTAGTAATTAGGTACTCCGGATCTAAGTAGCCAAGAGTTCCTTGTACTTTTGTCGCAACAAAACTTTGACCAGGCGGAATCAATACAGAAGACCCAAAATCAGAAACTTTGACAGTGTGGTTTTCATCCAATAGAATGTTGGTGGACTTGACATCTCTGTGAATGATTGGTGGGACAGCAAGCGAGTGTAGATAGTCCAAGGCCATGGCAGTTTCTGCAGCAATCCTTAATCGGTTTGACCATAATTTTAAAAATTCCGAGTGCACGATATGGAGATGCTTGAATAGTGTTCCATTAGAGACGAATTCGTAAACGAGCAATGGGACTTTTGTCTCCAAACACAAACCTAAAAGCTTCACCAAATGCTTATGGTTGACCTGTGAAATCATGTTAATTTCATGTAGAACTTGCTCGTTTATCGCTTCTTTTTGGAAGTTTTTGATTTGTGTCTTGTCTACCTTATTGGCCTTTTTCACAGCTACCAATGACTTGTCTGGTAAAGTTCCTTTGTATACTGAACCAAAGCCTCCTTGGCCAAGACGTTGATTCTCATCATACATATTGGTTGCCTTCTCAAGCTCATCTGCACTGAAAATCTTGATTTTTTGATTCTTCAACAATGACCCCCCATTTTTCAGAAAATTTCTGAGTTTGTTTCTTCTCTTGTACCTTATCCAAAATACAAGGATAATAATCACAACAATTATGGCCACCCCACAAACTGCATAACAAGTTGAGTTTCTTGATTATTAAATATATAAAATTAATGAAATGAATCTGTTGAAATTTTGGATAATTTCTAAATTTTTATGTCTAGGTCCGTAGCATTACTGTTATAATATTAAGTGCCATAATGATGGAATTAAGGTATTTAGGGTTCACTTGTGTGAATAGATAATATTAAGGCTTGGTTTGGGAAGTGGGTTGGCTTTTTGGCTTTTTGGCTTTTTTGGCTATTTTAGCCTGGGCTTAAAAGCTTGGTTTGGGAAGGGCTTTTTGGCTTTTTGGCTTTTTTGAGTTTTTTTGTGAGAGAAGAATGTAATGATTATGGGTTGGATGTGATGTTTTGTTTGTTATGGCTAAAATAGCCTATTTTGTTTTTTGTGGCTAAAATAGCCAAAAAAGCCTCCAACCTCACTTGCCAAACAGAGGCTAAGTAGCTCTCTTCGTTCGGCCTACAACTTGTACCCTACCTTGGCTTGGCCTAGATGAGAATTGACCTAGTCCTAAGCCTTGGGTTTGAAACTTGTCCCAGTCCAGTGACCCGTGAGAGGTGGCCATTTGCGCCACTCGTTAGCCCGACGCATGAGCCCATAAAAAATTATCAGAAAATAAGCAAAAAAAAATGCCTAAAATCTTGGTCCATTGACCTGCCCCGTTGGCACGACCCATGAACTCATCTGGGCCAAACCTATTGAGTAGAGCGTAGACCTAAGCTTTTAGCCTGCAGCTTAACCTGGACCAAGCCCATTTAAAAAAAGCCCAATGGGCTTAGCCCACGAGCAGGCTGGGGCTCCACCTCTACGTCAACCCTTTGTATAAAGGACATTTAAGATGCCTCTACCCCTGCTTGCAAGAAAATGTTATACTTTTTAGAAAAAATAATATTTCAACAATGTTAGAGGATCACAATTTTTGTGGTCACAATGGCTTAAAACTGTCAAAACGACGTCGTTTTGGCATGTTTTGCACCCAAAACGATTTCGTTTTGACAGTTTTGAACCATTGTGGCCACAAAATTGTGGCCCTCAAACATTTCTCATAATATTTAGATGATAAGTTATCAAAATAATACATTTTATAAAATTATATTCTAATGTTGTAAATTTTTTTATTAATATATTTTTCGTTTTTACATTGAAATGATATTATTTCTTTTTTTCTTTAAACTGTATAAATCTTCAAAATTATTCTTTTCAATTTCAAGTTTCCAAACAAAAAATTGTCATATATTATCTGAAAATTTGATCAAAACACTACACTTATACGATATTTTTTGTGGCATGATAAATCATAATTTTTTTTTTTTTAAATATGATGAGTCCTAACTGAGTAATTATTCAATAGTTATGAAACACTATATATATGCGTTGTTCACATAGGATTCTCAACCAATACCTAGTGTATTTAGTGGCTCTTCTTTGGTGTAGAGCACCTCCATGTACGAAATTCCACACGATATTCCGAAACTTCCTAGTAATTTTTTGTCCTACATATATTTATGATTTTTATTGCATGATATATATAAAATATAAAATAAAATAAAATATATCATGTGATAAATAACATTTTTCTAATTCTTTATCAAATAGCATGCTAAGAAAAAAATTAAGGACAAATTACAGCTATTCCTTGTAATTGATCTCTTATCTCAATTGGATCATTTTTAAAATAAAATAAAAATATTCAATCAATTAGATTTTTGAAATTTTTATGTTTTGTCAATTTAATCCAATTAACCTTTAAAAATTAAAATGGAATAAGAAACAAAATAATCAATCGCTCACATTAAAGTGATCGAAGGGTTGACGTCCATTTAAAATTATATATTCTCTTTTAAATAATTTTTTGATTTTTGATTTTTATCAATAAAAATAAAATTGATATAATAAAAACAATTAAAAAACATAATTGATACAATTGAAACTAATGCAAAAAGATTCCGAATTACTTGAGAAGACAGGCGTAAGACGAAATCCGACACAGTCCACTTTGCCATCGCCGAACATGCCAAGTGGGCAGTGACACGTGTAATTCCCTGGTGTATTCTTACACTTCCACTTGCATGGATACGTTTTCAGATCCACAACAATGATAGAGACCACTAATTTTGAACCTCTAAAAAGACCACTAATGATATGGCACTCAATAAAAAAAGAAAAAAAATATAACATCAAGGCCAAAACATCAAATCATTCCTGATGAGATCCACTGTCACATCATTAGTGATAGATCCATGCATTCATTTATGTCTGCAACAACATTAAAATACTCAAAATATTATATTAAAAACATCTATTTTAACGATTAATTGAATTAATACTTGCCAAAACATTTTTCTTTATTTAAAAAGTGAATGACTTCTCTCAGAATTTTAAAAGATGAGCTTATGAGTTTTAAACCGAGTTTGGCTCACATGGGTCTAATTTTAGTGTTTTTTTAATTAAATTAGAAAATTTTAAAAAATTAAAATAAAAAATTTTAAAGTGTGTTATAATAATTAAAATTGAATATTGAATATTGAATATTGAAAAAAAAAAAAAACTTAACTTTGTTTTTTAAAATACATAATTACATTCATTATAATTATATTACTATATTGTATGCATCTTTAATCTTGTAAAGATATAGTTACTAATTTCATAATTGCGATACTACTAATTTAAGATTTCAATTTTAATCTAACTGTTTTAATAAAAATACATATGTGCACGTAAATATATATATACATATATATATAAGCGCTTAATATGGGCTCTAGCATGGCTTATGGGCTGGGTTTTGGGGTTGGGCCATCGGCACTACTCCTCGCCCTATATGTAGCCCATATATTTTAGGGTCGGGCTCATGTGGATCCATGGGCTATGCGCTTTTTGATCAGGATTGCAAACTACACCATCCGTATATTGAAAACTTAATACAAAAAAATAAAATGTTATGGACCATGAAATTGTATTGTGAATTTTATTTTGAAAAGTGAGTGTATATTATAGATTTAAAATTAGTGAGATACTGTCCACAATGAACATAATCCATTGATTCACTTTGCTCAATAAATTTTCTAAGTTTGTAACATTATTGAACAAAAAACTAACCTTGGCATCCTTGGGGTTGGGAAAGGTAGGGGTTGCCTTGGTATCCAGGCTTGCAGACACAACGATATCCAGGGCCATTGTTAGAGTTGATACACATAGTGTTAAGTCCACATGCATATGATGTATCAATTGATTCACATCTCCCCTCTCCTACACCCCAGTCGAGTACAGCCGGCGACTCTCTATTCACATTATTGATATCCCTGAGATCTATGCTCGAAAACCCGAACCAGTCTTCACTCGCCAAGAAAGCATAGCTACATGGACTAAAATTCCTCACATAGCTATAGTTATCCAGTGATCGAATACTCATGTTCATGCCCTTGACACCGCTCGGGATTTGGGTTTGACAGCACCCGAGCCCTGAACAAGAATCCTCTCCCATCAGGTTCACCGGCTGGTAACACAAGGAGATGCACCCACTCTCAAAGTGCATGCCCGTGGAGTCCTCCATGAATGCCACAGTGTCGCAACCAACTGCAGTGAGCTTGTTTTGAGTGTCTGAGAATGTGAATGGACTTCCATTCAAGTCGATTTGGTTACTATAAAAGTTGAATCCATCTGATGATTTGTTGTAGCAATAATACGCCATCGATACGTTGACCATAACCGTGCCTTCCTCCACCGATATATTCAGTATCTGTAAGTCACCGAGCATTAGTTTGGAATGAGAACCCAAACCAGAAGTGTCGTAATGGATGTATTTTAGCAAGAAGCTTTCGTTCATGGAACATTCGGGGTCTTCTATGCCGAAAGGGTAAGGAACACTTATATTGCCCCATTTTTCGAGGCAGCCTGGTTTTGCCATTGATGGTGATTCTATCTCTTTAGATAGTGGTAATAATATTAATAATAGTATGGTGAACAAGATCCAAAACTCGAAGATGGGTCTCATCTTTCTTCCTGATTAAACGTTGCTTTCTCTTTTACATCAATACGTGTGGAGGAAATGAGTTATATATACTGAAATGAGTTAATCCTATGGTCCAGAAGAGATCAGAGAAGAGGTTGGAAAAGCCGGCTGCGGCGAAAAAGTACCCTTTTATGTTTTTGGACGGGAGCTGTTGGTTGTTGGAGAGCTTAATGTGTTGGTGTTAAGGTGATGAATTATCCTAGGTTGTATGTTTTGTTGGTACCTTGCTAACTATAGGTTTTTCCTCTGGCTGTTTGATTGTTCGGATTGAATATAAAATTTTAAATAAAATATATAATATTTAAGAATAAAGATGAAACATAATATATTATAAAATATAAGATAAATTATAGAATATGAGATGAGTTATCCTAAACTATATGTTTTGTTGGCATCTTTCTAACTTAGGTATGTATGAGTGGCTTTTGGCATGTTAAGATTTTAGTTTAAAAATTAAAAAATTATTGAAAAAAAAAAGTTAAAAGTCAATAAATACTAAAAAATTAAATATTTCTTTTCTTTTTCTTTTTCTTTTTTGCATATTTTTTCATTAAAAAATTAAAAAATAATCTCAAACATATTAATTTTTTTTCATCCCATATTTTAGTATATAAAAAAAAAACTAAAAAATCACAAAAAAAAATTGTTCCCAAACAAGCCTATTCGGGGTGTATTTTGAGTGATGAAGCTATTCTCCTTGACGTTTATTATCTCATTGTATTTCTTTATTTCAAAGTAATAAAAAATTTTATTTTGCCAATAAAAAAATAAAAAACAAAACACTTCAATTGGAGTTGGATTTCCTCTAATCCATAATCTGAACTCGAAGATGTTGTTCAAGTCGTGGGATTCACCACGGATTCTATATCAATGATCCTAATTGTTCATTTTATAAGGTACTTCATTACTATCATTTACAAAATAAATAAATAAATAAATAAGTCGATCTGATAATTGTAATCTATTTAATTTATCAAATTTGTTTATAAAAATAAAAATAAAATGAACGGTAAGTGTATTTAAAAATTGACCACTTATTTTTTTGGTGGCAAACGGGATCAATTAAATTAGTTACGATTATCAAATTTACCTAATTTGTTTGCAAATGATATACATGAAGAATCTTACAAAATAAATTATTCAAATTATTGAAACGAAATATATGGTAGATCCCATCCCATGGGCTCAAAAAGCACATTTCAGAAATTACCAGGAATCATACAGTCCTCTTACCTAACAACAAAAACCAAACAAAAATTATTGAATTTGACATTTTGATGGCCTACTCTTACATAACACATTATTTAACACACATTTAATTACAATTGTAATACCGAAAATTAAACATTAAACACACACAAATAAATCACACTTTTATCAGTTTATATCATATAAGACTATGTCTAATGCTTATTTTTTTAAAATTCAATTTTGAGTAAAGATTTGGATTAAAGCTTCATCTGATACCAAGCGTTCTAACGTTAAATTTTTAATTTTTGTCAAGCAACTGGTTGACTGCGAGGATGTCCGGGCGGGCTCAGATGTCTGGACGATCGGCAAAGCAATGGACAACTTTGAAAGTACCTGGTTGTTCGGGAGGACAACCAACCAAACAATCAGCTGGTCGTTTGATGTACGATAAAGTGTAATGGCTCTCTCTAAAAATTTGATGAACGCTGAAACCTCCCTCGATTTGATGAAACTTCTCTCATTTGATATAGATTTGATGCCAACGTTGGAGAAAAAAAAATAAACATATTTCATCAAATTTAAATTTAATATTAAATTTGAGTAAGTATTAAAGATACTCTAACACGCTTTAATACACAAATTTAACAACACTGGAGATGTTCTTAGAACTTACCTGGAATCCTACCACAAAATCATTCTTTTCTTTACATGTACGTCCAAACGTAATTAATGATTTTGAAAATTTTGCACAAGAAAAAGGTTAGGAATCCATTTTTTTTAATTCAGAACTTACTTCGAATGCCTTTGTATGGTAAAAATTTAAATTGATGGAGTCTGAGATTCTACATATGAAATGAATTTGAGTCATTAATTTCTTTTCGTAAATAAATTCTGGGTTGATAAGAGTTGATTTGATTTGTTATTGTTGTTAACACCAAAAAAAAAAAATTGTTTGGTGGCCTGAATTTGTATAGCCTGAATGGCTCAAATGTGTCAAAACAATATTGTTTTAAGACATTCGTGTCATTTGAACCAAAAAAATTCGAGTCACTTAACATTGTTGTTATACAAATACCATATGATTTGACCCTTTGTAATAAATTAAATTTTTTATTTGTAATTGAGAGATTTGATAGCGAGTCCCCCAATAAAATTTTTCAGTAATAAAAAGACAATTTAATATTTTATTTATTTATTTTTCCTTAGGTAGGGTAAACAACAAACTAAGCACTACGGCCGAGCATCCGAGAGAACGGGAGTTTTAATGTATAAAATTCTGCAAAGTAAAGTTCTCATATAATCAAGGCTTGTTTAGTAGAGTTTTTTTTTTTTTAATTAAAATTTGATAATCAAAAAGTAAAAGTTAAAAATAATTTTTTCTCCATTTTTAAATAATTAATTTTTTTTAGTTTATTTAAATTGTTTTTGCCTAAGCACCAAATAGTCTGATACTGACTCCCAAATTAAAATAAGTTATAATTACCTCCTACAAGCTATAACAAACAGCCCCAAAGAGACAAAATAATACTTAAATTATACTTCCCACGGTATAAAAGTTGTTTTAAGAATTGATTATTTTAATTGATATTTTAAATTTTTATAAAAAGACATGTAAAAAAAATGAGAAAGTAATTTTTTGACATTTTAATTATTTTAAGCCTGAGTCTTAATTTTCAAATTAAAAAAAAAGGTAAATTACCAACCCACCTCAATGTAACTCGGATTGGTTCAGATCCAATTCATAGTATATCCATATATATTTATTTTTTATTTTCACTTATTTTTATTTTATCAGTCAAAATCTATAGGTAAATGAATATAGTTAATAGGATTGATTGATAAATATCCCTAAAAACAAGTGAAAGATGATGCAAACATGTAATGTGTATCCCTCACCATCATCATTATTATTGTTAGTGTAATTACGATAAATAAATAATTAATTATAGAGTCAAAAAAAAAATATGGACAACAATTATGATTATGGGAAGATACTAAAATTTACGTAATTTAGCAAATTCTGTCTATGGTCACAGATCACTGCTCTCGTCTACTATACCAAATATGTATTTAAACATTGAGCATTGATAGACACGAGTCAAGAGCCTCTCCTTGCAGGCTCCTATGTGTTTGAAAAATTGAACTAAAAACTATTTTTTTAAAGAATTTAATAAACAGTTTTTCCGAACATATGCTTTCTGATATCCGATCAACTTGATTTTTTACAGGTATGATATACTGAATAAATCATAAAATATGAACGGTTCGGATTATCAAAATTGGGCCTGAAAGTAGACCCGAAGGCCCTGCAAGGACGAGCGCAAGTAGGAACTTGCAATGAGAGAATCCTCATACGATAGAGACCCCCTCCAATCACCACCCCCACTACCCCCCACACACACGTGGCGGGTGGTGATTGGAGGAGAAGGGGAAAAAAAAAAAAGCAAAAGAAAAAATAGCCAATCAAAAACGAGAGGGGGTCAAAGGGGGTGGGGGAAAAGGGGATCTTAAACATTTTTGTTAAAGATTACCTACTATCATTAATGGCCACATCACATCTCCAAATATATCTATCTATCTATATATTATATAAGAAAAATGGAATGTCTAACTCACAAGTCTTGTGAGAATTCTAAATTTCCAATCTAAATTTCATAATTTTTTCATATTTAAAAATTATAAAAAAAAAAACTTCTATTGGCTAGCTTTTATTCAAGCAAAAATGAATAAATAAATAAAAATTAATATCTCTTAATTTATGATTTCAAATAGAAAGTATATCAAATATAAAATAAAATAAAAAATAAAAAGTATACTAATCCATTTCAAAATTCAAATTTGAGGGTCACTATCACAAATATGAAAAATAATCTATTAATTTAAATTTAAAATCGGCACAATATAAATTTAAAATTATAATGATATATCCCATGATTAATAAGTTTTAAATACAAATTTAAAATTATCATAATTAGCTCATAATTTTTGTATTTAGGAATACAATAAGAGTGACGTTAAGATTATTTATATATTTTATAAAAGAATACTTTTAAGAAGAGATACTATGAGAGTTTTAAAACCTCATACAAAATATGTATATTATTATAATTGAAAAACGTTGTCATGGTATTAAAATTTAAAGTTGCAATTCTTTTTCTTTTCTTTTTTTTTTTAATTTTGTTTAATTCTTGTTAATATGTGTCACAATATGATTGGTTTATAAATTAATTTTATATTCATAAAATAAAATTTTAAATTTAGATTCTTCCTTAAATTATGTTATCAGAATAAGGTCAATATTCATTAATTAATTTATGCATCTTTTATTAAATTATAAAATAAAATTTTTAATTTACATTCTTTTTTAAATTATGTTACTACAATTAGAATAAGATCAATATTCAAATGTGCCATAATGACGTGTCATAATATTATTAGTCTAAACATAATATGTTATTAAATACATGTATTTAAATTATTAATCACTATTAAAATTTTATATTTTTATTTATTGTCATTTTTTATCTTAAATTCTAGTTTAAAAAAAATTATGTCCTTCTAAACTACAGGGACTTAAACAATAAATTTTTTTAATACAATTTTTTTTTTTAAAGAAATTAAGAAAATGAATGACTTTTTTAATAATTGTCAAACATAATAGATTCTATTAAAAAAAATTTATTCTCAATTGTCAATTAAACTAATTAAAATAAAAAAATAAATTTTTTGGCTTAAATAGTTAAGAAATGACTTTTTCTAAAATTAAATAAAAATAAATATTTTTTTTACTTAAAATTGATAGGT